TAGAAAAAAGATGGTGAACATCATGATGATACCTGCCAAACATCTGCATGTTAGCATACTGACATTAGCATTTAGCTCAGAGACTTTGCGCTGTGTATCACCTCAATCAGCTGCTAGCATGCCTGCAAACTCTTCTGATAAAATGTCTTTATCAGAGTCTCTTCGAGTCACAACACTCTTGCTTCTGTCACAGGAACAAAGTACCACGAGTCTGAGCCAGTATACCCAACTCAGACCACAGACTGGGAAGCTGTTTTTCCTGATGGAACACCAATTAAGAAGGACAAGAAGCCAGCCTACGTGTTTGTCTGGAAAGCCTGGAGTGAGTGAAGCTGTCGTCTTTTCTGATGGTCCCAGAGTTTCTTGAGGCGCATGCCATGACCTGAAACCTGAAACTTGAGCCAGGATTATGTATGAGCCTCAACATGTGATCAGATTATATCACCTCATTATATAACCTCACTTGTCCTCTATGTAAGAACAAAATCCTTTAAACAAACAATCCATGATTTTCAGTTTAGGGATTCAGATGTTTTCTACATTGTAGCATCAAGGCTTCAATTATATCTAAAAAGTGACATATTGTGAAGTGTACACCACAGACAAAAAGTGTTTAACCTGATGTGGTTCGATGAATACACTAAGAAAACGTATAGTTATTTGTAGTCAAGGGGCACAGAGTGTATCTCATACTCTGGATGCTCGTTTTGCAGGTCAGTACTGGCAGGTGGCAGACGGCTCCTCTTCCTCCCTGACCATCGATACAGATGACATCCCGCTGGGCTCCTACACCATGGACATTGTTATCTACCACTACCGCAGCAAAGAGAAGTTCATTCCTCTGGGATATGCCTCCACTCAGTTCTCCATCACTGGTGAGTTATAGGGGACTTTAGGAAAAACTGAAAAAAGGTTAAAAAGCAAAGAATTCCCCATTCCCATGTGTTCAGTTGACACGAAAAATGTTGCCTTCATGGCACTGCATGAGGTTTTCTCCACTAGAAGGTTGAGAGGGCCCTTTCGCTGCGTTTTTTTCAAACATGACTCAGAGATTCATAAGATCAGCTCAAACTAAAAGACAAAAGAAACTAAGGTCTTAAAAAAAAAACCCATCTTATACTGTGTGCGATAAACAATTAAAACAGCTCCTTAAGGTAACAATTAAGGTTTAGACACCTACAATGTTATTTTGCACATTTAAAGGGGTTTTACACTTTACTTAAGGTACTTTAAACCATTTTAGGGATTGTTATCCATTAAAATATACCAATTTGACTGATCCATTAAAGACCTTCATTAGGAAAGGTAGGATTGGCTCAAATTAAAAGCCTAAAAAAGTAAAATAAACTTTTGTTGACATCATTTTTTGGTGTTCTCCTCAGATCAAATCCCCTTCGCTGTCTCCCTGGACCAAGTCAACGACATCGTGGCCGGGGACCTGCGCTTCATTCAGAACAGGGCGATTGCCTTCACCATCACCCTCCACGACCCCAGCCAGTACCTCAGCAACGCAGACATCACCTTCAACTGGGACTTTGGGGATGACAGCGGAGCCCTGATATCCAGAGAGCTGACTGTCACTCACACCTACATCAACTCTGGCTCGTTCAAGCCTCAGGTGGTGATCCAGGCGGTCATCCCAGATAAGGCCTGCAACCCACCAGTTGATATCCCAACCAAGGCCCCAAGTCCACCTACTCACAAGGGCACCACAGGTAAAGAACAAGTGTTAAACAAACATGCAACATGTTAAGGTTTGCTTCCAGTCATTATGCTAAGCTCAGCTGTTGCAATTATGTTCTGAAACAATGTTCACAGTATTTGTAGCCATGTATATTATCTCGGCTTCACATGTGTTATGGAAACACACACTCAACAGTCCTCCCTGTGTGTAGTGAAAGCTGCTGCACTGGCGTCTGCTGTCCCCATACTGGTCTCCACCAAGGCCACTGGTCTGACTGTCAACATGGTATCTTCGGACACAGAGGAGGACAACACTGAGGATGAGGCCTCCACTGCGCCTAACACTCAGCCGGCCCAGGAAGCAGCCACAGTGGCCAAGACTCCCTCACCCGTCAATCACGTCAATGAAATGCCAGCTGGCAATGGGGCACGGACGAGTAAGCTCTTTAAATAGTTGTACAAAATTTAGACTATAATTGTACTCGAGGATAACTTGTTTAATCCCCACCTGAGGTAGTGTGTGCAACAACAGAAATATGTCCTGTGAAATTGAAAAGTACTGAGTTGGTACCAGCTGACTGAGATGTGCCAGATAGAAGCAGAGGCTGATTTCCTCAAATGTAAATGTGATGTAAATCTTCAAAGACACACTGCCATTGTGTTAAACACGCAGAGCACATGATAATGACATGCTCTATTGTGCTTTATCGTTTATATTCTGATTTGCATGCTGACTGAGAGTGTTCAGCTCAGTTTTTCTGATCTAATTTGATTCATTCATTGGCCTTCAAAACACACCAATCCAAGGGACACGTTAAAGTATGAATGGCCCATTTCAGAATATATATTCTGATGTGTATTATATTATTGATTTATAACCATTGATGCATTTATTTGTACATCACGTTAATGTTGCAGCTGGTAAAGGTTATTTTCTGCGGGGTAGCTTGTGAATTTCACCAAGAGCTCAAAAAAGGTCTTTATCTTTATCCATGATAACACATCATGATGTTTTTGTTGATCATATTTTGTATTATTAATCTGAATCTGCAAAGGAACTTAAAGATAAATGTAGTTGAGTACAAAGTACAATATTTCCCTCTGAATTGTAGGGGAGTAGAAGTATAAAGTTGCAGAAAATTGAAACACTAAAGCAAAGTACAAATACTTCAAAATTGGACATGAGTACAGTACTTAAGTAAATGTATTTAGTTACTTCCACCACTGGTTAAAGGAGATGCATTCAGTAATAACGCTACGGTCAAACCACTATACCAAGTAGTAAAAATGATCTGTCATTATATTAAACTAATTCCCTTGCTCTGGTTATTTCCTCCAGGTGCAAAGCAAACAGTGACCCTGACAGGCCAAGCTACAGTGGTAGTCCTTGCTAAGAGGGATGCTGATGACACACTGTCCGACGACGACTGCGTGATTTATCGTTATGGCTCTTTCTGCACAGGCATCGAAGTGTTTGGTGAGTTAACTTCCATCAGCGATATGTTCAACAATATGTCAAATGAAAACAATGGAAACCTTTGTCAGTGACCTCTTGTCTTTGTTTTCAGAGGGCATTGAAAAAGTAGAGATTGTACAAATGGACAATGCTGTGATGGCAGCACCGGACATGAACAGAAATGTTTTGGATATCACTGTTACCTGCCAGGGAAGGTGAACGCTCCTGCACTACTACACTTTGTCAAACTATACTTTAAAAGCATGGTGTTGTTTATTCTGACTCACACCAGCATCTTCTTCTTCCAGCTTCCCAAAAGAGGTGTGCAGCGTGATTCTGGATGCAGAGTGCTTGAGGCCGATTCACACGGCATGCAACATGGTGGAGCCCTCCAAGGAGTGCCAGCTGGTGTTGCGTCACTTCTTCAACGACTCTGGTGTCTATTGCATCAACGTGTCCTTGGCCAACGACATCAGTTTAGCTGTCACCAGTGCCAGAGTCAACGTTGACATAGGTACGCAACTTAACCACCGTTCAATCCAGAACGTTTCTGCTTTATCCTGCTGACTGAACGCGTGATCCTTGTTTCAGGTTCAGGTCTGTCCTCTCCTGGCACCATCGGCATGGTGTTGGGTGTCCTGGTCCTCGTTCTGGCAATAGCAATAGTGGCATATTCTTATAGGTAAGAACTGACTTTACTTGTGGATATACATTTTCTACACATAATGCACAATCTCATGTATTGAGGCCGAGAATGATAATGAAGAGAGAGAAATGTGAAAATATAGAGTCAAAACCTGGGCACCTAAAATCCAGGCACGTTTGCTCCGCGTGCCCTAATAAGGTTCCGCGACCATGTACCAGCGAGCACGGTTCGAGGCTTCTTTTCGTGAGATTATGTGTGGAAGACAACAAAAACATTACGAGCTTTATCCGTAAAGCACGTGCAATTCAATTAACTTGTCTGGATTGTGTACTTCACTCAACAGGCGCTTTAAGTCCTACCGTCCTCTTAAGGAAGAACTGATTGCTGCAGACCTGCAGGACAGACGGGCTCACGTCACCTCCGGAGCCTCGATGTTCTGGAAGCTTCTGAACAGTCAGGGAGCTGTGGACGACTGCCCTCTGCTGCAGGACCGACCGGTGTAAACCAGCCTCACACCACCAAATAGAAAACCAAGAAACTTATGATTTGCAAGTTTTTTGCACCAGAGATGTCTTTTTGTACTTTTTTTTTATTACATATTTTCTAATGACAAACTCATGTGTGTGTAATATTTGGGTTTTCCCGGAATTATACTAAAGACATGCTCTGATCTTTTGTACCTATAAGTTTGGTAGTAAAAGTGTATACTTTAATTTGGACAAAACGGAATTTGAATGTTTTTCCAATAAACTTTGCTCAAAACAGTTTTGTTTCACTGTGATTCATGACACCTTTCTAACAGTACATTTACTGATGAAGCAGCTAAACGAATGATGTAGATGAGCTCCTTAAGTTATGACATAGACTCCCGAATCTACCCCTCCAACTTGATGACATTGGATAGCTCAAAACTGTGGAATTCAACATCTTGTCAGATACTCATTATAATGTAGGTTGAATTTATAAAAAGACAAACACATTCACATTTCACAGGAGTTTTATTTATAACAGAGCCAAAATGGTATTTGATGAACATTTCTGTTTGGAATGCATTCAAGAATTGTTTCCTGTTTAACTTGTCTATTTTTGTCCCTTTTAATATTCCTCTCCCTCTTCCTCTCCCTCTCCCTCAATAGAGTCGACTCCAACCTCCTCATAATCCTTCTCCAGAGCTGCCATGTCCTCTCTGGCCTCAGAGAACTC